TTTACCGTTACTTAACAGGATGTTCTAAATATAGAAAAAAGCAATTCAAAATGTTATGGCAGTACAAAGAAATATGTTAATACCGATCTGGGGGTCTTTTACTCATGTAAATGAATGACGCACATAAATGTAGATTGAAATCTTTTTCTCAACCGCCCAACTACTTGTTGTCCATAAATATCATTTTCTCCATAAAGGGTTTCACCAAAACACGATTTGACTTTTAAGAATAGTATGACCAACAGTTGTTTTTTAATGAATTAATTCATTGGTTGGAGTGTTTGTGTTGGTTACCGCGAAGTTGTAAAGTCTGAGAACATTGTCTTCTGGGTGAATAGTTTCCTGTGTGAGATAGTCCTGTCTACTGGATAGATAGTTATTAGAGTAGATGGTATCCAGGGTAGATTGGCCCCTGGAAAGATAATGTCCTGGGTAGTGTCTTGGGTAGATAGTCTCCAGGACAGGTAGCTATTAGCGTAGATAGTGTCCTGAGTAGATTCTCTCCAGGGTAGATAGTCTCTGGGGTAGATATTCTCCCTGGTAGATAGTCTCTGGGGTAGATATTCCCTAGGGTAGATAGTGTACTGTATAGATAATTTTCTGGGTAGGTAGTCTACTGAGTAGATAGTTTTGTTGAATTCTAAACGAATGATAGCTATTCTCAATAAGCATAAATGCGCCTTTCTTGCAGGAAGAGGTGTCCACAATTGTTGGAGGTGTCTTTAAAATAGAGACTTCAACATGAAGTTAACATTTGTTCCATATTGATATAAATATTATTTGTCACATTTTTAACATGTTCAGTTAAATAGATGGAATTGGTGGCAGTGACTGTGTAACATATTAGTTACATCTACTCATCGGCACGTGAACTACATCTGAATCCTGTAGACTATAGTTATTGGTTTCACAGAAATCGTGTGCTCTAGTATGAAATAACCTGTACGGTTATTAGCTATATGGATTCCATACGCTATATTACAGACGAATCCAGGGGCGGTCGGGTAGCCTACTGGTAAAAGCGTTCGCTCGTCATGCCGAAGACCCGGGCTCGACTCCCGACATTGGTTGAATTTTGTAAAGCCCATTTCTGGTGTCCCCCGCCGTCATATTGCTGGAATATTGCTAAAAGCGGCGTAAAACCATGCTCACTCACTCACCACAGAAGAATCCTGAAGGGAGTCCGTGATCTTTATTTAAAAAGACAATGTATTACAGAAGTATCCTATAGGGATCCCGTGATATTGTATTACAGAAGATTCTGCACTCTGTATTACAGACGAATTATGTAGGGATTCCGCACTCTGTATTACAGAAGAATCCTGTAGGGATTCCATACTCTGTATTACAGAAGAATTCTGTAGGGATTCTGCACTCTGTATTACAGAGGAATCCTGAATGGATTCCTTACTCTGTATTAAGAAGAATTCTGTAGGGATTCTGCACCCTGTATTACAGAAGAATCCTGAAGGGAGTCCGCACACTGTATTACAGACGAATCCTGTAGGGATTCCGTACTCTGTATTACAGACGAATTCTGGAGGGATTCCGTACTCTGTATTACAGAAGAGTTCTGTAGGGATTCTGCTCTCCGTATAACAGGAGAATCCTGAATGAATTCCGTACGCTGTATTTCAGAAAAATTCTGTAGGGATTCTGCACTTTGTACAACAGAAGAATCCTTTAGGGATTCCGTACTCTGTATTACAGAAGAATTCTGTAGAAATTCTCCCCTCTGTATTACACACGAATTCTGTAGGGATTCTGCACTCTGTATTACAGAAGAATCCTGAATGATTTCCGTACTCTGTATTACAGAAAGATTCTGTAGAGATTCTGCACTTTGTACAACAGAAGAATCCTTTAGGGATTCCATACTCTGTATTACAGAAGAATTCTGTAGAGATTCTCCACTCTGTATTACACACGAATTCTGTAGGGATCCTGCACTCTGTATTACAGAAGAATCCTGAATGAATTCCGTACTCTGTATTACAGAAGAATTCTGTAGGGAGTCCACATTCTATATTACAGAAGAATTATGTTAAGATTCCTCACTGTGTATAACAGAACAATTCTGTTCGGATTCTGCACTCTGTATTACAGAGGAATCCTGAATGGATTCCGTACACTGTATTACAAAACATCCTGTAGTGATTTCACACTCTGTATTACAGATGAATTCTGTAGGGATTCTGACTTTGTATTAAGAAGAATTCTGTAGGGATTCTGCTCTCTGTATTACAGAAGAATCCTGAATGAATTCCGTACTCTGTATTACAGAAGAATTCTGTAGGGAGTCCACACTCTGTATTACAGAAGAATTATGTTAGGATTCCCCACTCTTTATAACAGAAGAATTCTGTAGGGATTCTGCTCTCTGTATTACAGAAGAATCCTGAATGAATTTCGTACTCTGTATTACAGAAGAATTCTGTAGGGAGTCCACACTCTGTATTACAGAAGAATTATGTTAGGATTCCTCACTCTTTATAACAGAAGAATTCTGTTGGGATTCTGCACTCTGTATTACAGAAGAATCCTTTAGGGATTCTACACTCTGTATCACAGACGTCTTTTGTAGAGATTCCGTACTCTGTATAACAGAACAATTCTGTTGGGATTCTGCACTCTGTATTACAGCCGAATTCTGTAGGGATTCCGTACACTGTATTACAAAACATCCTGTAGTGATTTCACACTCTGTATTACAGAAGAATCCTGAATGGATTCCGTTCTCTGTATTACAGAAGAATTCTGTAGTGATTCTGGATTCTGTATTACAGAAGAATTCTGTAGTGATTCTGGATTCTGTACTACAAAGGAATCCTGTAGTGATTTCACATTCTGTATTACATAGGAATCCTGAATGAATTCCGTACTCTGTATTATAGAAGAATTTTGTATGGATTCTACACGTTGTGTTACAGAAGAATTCTGTTTGGAGTCCACTCTCTGTATTCCAGAAGAATTATGTTGGGATTCCACACTCTTTATAACAGAAGAATTCTGTTGGGATTCTGCACTCTGTATTACAGAAGAATCTTTTAGGGATTCTACTCTCTGTATTACAGAAGAATTCTGTAGGGATTCCGTACTCTGTATTGCAGACGAATTATGTAGGGGTTCCGCACTTTCTATAACAGAAACATAATTGGGATTCCGTACTCTGTATTACACAAGAATTCTGTAGGGATTTCACACTGTATTACAGAAGAATCCTGAATGGATTCCGTACACTGTATTACAGAAGAATTCTGTAGTGATTTCACACTCTGTGTTACAGAAGAATCCTAAATGGATTCCGTACACTGTAGTACAGAAGACTTCTGTAGTGATTTCACACTCTGTGTTACAGAAGAATCCTAAATGGATTCCGTACTCTGTATTAAAGACGAATTCTGTAGGGATTTCACACTCTGTAGTACAGAAGAATCATGTAGGGATTGAGTACTCTGTATAACAGAAGAATTCTGTAGGCATTCCGTACTCTGTATAACAGACGATATCTGTAAGGATTCTGCACTCTGTATTACAGAAGAATCCTTTAGGGATTCCGTACTCTGTATTACAGAGGAATCCTGAATGGATTCCGTACTCTGTATTACAGAAGAATCCTTTAGGGATTCCGTACTCTGTATAACAGAAGATATCTGTAGGGATTCTGCACTCTGTATTAACCAAAGAATCCTGTAGTGATTTCACACACTGTATTACAGAAGAATCCTGAATGGATTCCGTACTCTGTATTTCAGACGAATTCTGTAGGGATTCCATACTCTGTATTACAGAAGAATCCTGTAGGGATTCCGTACTCTGTATTACAGAGGAATCCTGAATGGATTCCGTACTCTGTATTACAGAAGAATCCTTTATGGATTCCGTACTCTGTATTACAGAGGATCCTGAATGGATTCAGTACTCTGTATTACAGAAGAATTATTTAGGGATTCTGCACTCTGTATTACAGAAGAATCCTTTAGGGATTCAAAATTCTGTATTACAGAAGAATCATGTAGGGATTCAACCCTCTGTATTACAGACGAATCCTGTAGGGATTCCGTACTCTGTATTACAGAAGAATTCTGTGGGGATTCTGCACTCTGTATTACAGAAGATTCTGTAGAGATTCCGCACTTTGTATAACAGAAGAATACTTAAGGGATTCCGTACTCTTTAGTACAGAAGAATTCTGTAGGGACTCTGCACTCTGCATTACAAATGAATTCTGTCAGGATTCCGCAATCTGTAATTCTGTAGAGATTCCGCACTTTGTATAACAGAAGAATCATGTAGGGAGTCCATGCTCTGTATTACAAAGGAGTTCTGTTGGGATTCTGCACTCTGCATTACAGAAGAAGAACAAAGCGTTTCTAAGAACCATCGTGATGTCCTGCAATCGAGCCTACCCCCTCGATGAGGTTTGCCACCGCTTATCATTCTCTTACATTTCAATATTTTCAAATTCAATTCAAAATTTTGAAATTGACACACATAAAAAACCTAGGGATGGTAAACTAAAGTAGTTCACTGGTTAATACAGCTCTTACGCATGTATGAATAAAATGCAAAGTGAAAAAAGGATAGGGTTATTTATACAGCGGTATCCAGGGTTTCTAGCTTTGTCGTGCATCTTGAACTGGGGGAGGTATTTGATCTACTCTCCAGTGCTTATGAATAACAAAGGGAGCATGTGTTTGCCGATATGTCGTCTCACATTATGTATCACCACAGTTGTCAGGGACCGTTATCCGGGTGAACACAACAAATAGTCAATCTTATTTATTTCCTGGAGGGTGGTCCAGTCTACTGGGAAGGGGGGCTTGATCAACTATATCATTTGTAAAATATATCTCAAGCCATTAATAACAAAATATTAAATACCTAAATATTATATTTCTACCTCAGTTAGTTGTATTTGATATACATCGCCATTGACATGTATGTATAGGTTGAATAAAATAATTCATTTCTAATATTAACTTCCCTACTATAATTAGACTCGTCTGAAAGATGACATAAAAGCGTCCCGTACAAGGTTGGCTGTACATAACGATCAGCTGACAGCTTCAGAGGTAGGTACCTTGTACTCGTGTAGAGACGATTGAGGGGAGATTTGATAATAACTTCCAACCTAGTAGTGATTCAGCCCTAGGTCTCTAGTAGACGTGGCGTTGTCCAATACACATAGGTTCTACAGTCTCTAGTAGAAGTGCCGTTATCCAATACACATAGGTTCTACAGTCTCCAGTAGACGTGGCGGTGTCCTCTACCCCTAGGTTCTACAGTCTCCGGTAAACGTGGCGTTGTCCTCTACCCCTAGGTTCTACAGTCTCCGGTAGACGTGGCGTTGTTCTCTACCCCTAGGTTCTACAGTCTCCGGTAGACGCGGCGTTGTCCACTAACCCTTGAATTTAAGTCTCCGGAAGACGTGGAAGTTATCCACAAACCAAAGGCCCTACAGTCTCCAGTAGTAGTGGCATTGTCCACTACCCCTAGGTTCTACAGTCTCCAGTAGACGTGGCGTTGTCCTCTACACATAGGTTTCTACAGTCTCCAGTAGACGTAGCGTTGTCCTCTACCCCTGGGTTCTACAGTCTTCAGTAGACGTGGATGTTATCCACAAACCCAAGGCCCTACAGTCTCCATTATCCTTCCCAACTACACATTTCCTCTGTTTTCTGCAAACAATATTGAGTGAATGCCTGGAAGAATCGAACATGTTGATTGCAGATTCCCAATCAACAAGAACGATGAAGTCTACCTTGGCTGCCATCCTTATTCTTTCGCTGTGTGCTGTCAGTACCCTGGCAGCATCAAGTAAGTACGCACGTTGTTTGCTTATATGTCTCATCGAGAGACATGTGATCAAATTATGACGCCATGATAAAAGACACTAATTTCGGTAAATTGGCAGACTTCAAACATCGCTTTGTTTGACTGCTGGCTCAAACTTTATAACCCGCAGTGAAACCTCGTTAATCAGGGTAATTAAATTCCGGTTTATCGAATCCCTGGTGCGAAGTAATGGACCTCATAGATTCTACTCTAATGAAGGTAAAGAACATCAGATATTGTTTTCATATTACTTTAGGCAATGTGTCATGACAAGAAAGATTAATTATTGTTATATGAAAGAATCGGGTGTTCTCTGACTTCCTTTGAGTAAGACGTTCCCAACAAGTTCCCAACAAGAACACTGTAAATATGTTCTTGTCACTTTCAATCTGTTCAAATGCGAGTACTTCCCGATAGCTTCTAAAGAGTACTATCTTCTCTGTGTATCCTTTTGTTGCAAATAAAATCGGTAATAATGTCATCATTTTCAAAGTCGGTTAACAAACTTGCATCAATTATTATAATGTTGACTAAACGACTAACTTAAATCCTTCAGCATCAACGTCGATGGCTACTGAATCAACGACAGTGCCTGGTGACTCATCGACAGTGGCTGGTGACTCATCGACAATGGCTGGTGACTCATCGACTGCCACGACCACCAAGGTAAGACCTCCATATTTCACCGTAAAAACGTTTTCACAAATATCGTTATCGTCAGTATACGTCTGTACTGACAACTGACGTTATCATCAATACACGTCTGTACTGACAACTGACGTTATTATAAATATACATCTGTACTGACAACTGACGTTATCATAAATATATACGTCTGTACTAACAACTGACGTTATCATCAATATACATCTGTACTGACAACTGATGTTATCGTCAATATACGTCTGTTCTGACAACTGACGTTATTATAGATATACATCTGTACTGACAACTGACGTTATCATAAGTATATACGTCTGTATTGACAACTGGCGTTATCATCAATATACGTCTGTACTGACAACCGACGTTATCATCAATATACGTCTGTACTGACAACTGACGTTATCATTAGTATACGTCTGTACTGACAACTGACGTTATCATCAATACATGTCTGTACTGACAACTGCCGTTATCATCAATATACGTCTGTACTGACAACTGACGTTATCATCAATATACGTCTGTACTGACAACTGACGTTATCATTAATATACGTCTGTACTGACAACTGACGTTATTATAAATATACATCTGTACTGACACACTGTACTAGATTCACACTTCTGTACTGACAACTACTATTTACTCCAATAAACTACTACACCCACAACTCATGTTTACTCCAACACACTACTAAACCGGCAACTTCTGTTAAATCAAAACACACAACAATGCAGTCAATTACTGTTTACTTCAATACACTACTATACAAACAACTACTGTTTACTCAATTCACTTCTATCCACACAAATACTGTTTACTCAAAACACTAGTATACAGACAACTTCTCTTTACTCAATATACTACTTTACAGACAACTACTGTTTATTCAATACACCACTACACAGATAACTCATGTTTACTCAATGTACTACTTTTCAGACAACTACTGTTTACTCAATACACTACTATACAGACAACTACTGTTTACTCAATACACTACTATACAGACAACTACTGTTTACTTCAGCACACTACTATACAGACAACTACTGTTTACTCAGTACATTACTATACAGACAACTACTGTTTACTCAAGCACACTACTATACAGACAACTACTGTTTACTCAAGCACACTACTATACAGACAACTACTGTTTACTTCATCATACTAACATACAGACAAATACTGTTTACTCAAAACACTAGTATACAGACGACTACTCTTTACTCAATATACTACTATACAGACAACTACTGTTTATTCATTACACCACTACACAGATACCTTATGTTTACTCAATGTACTACTTTTCAGACAACTACTGTTTACTCAATACACTACTTTACAGACAACTACTGTTTACTCAATACACTACTATACAGACAACTACTGTTTACTCCAACACACTACTATACAGACAACTACTGTTTACACAGTACATTACTATACAAACAACTAATGTTTACTCCAGCACACTACTATAAAGACAACTACTGTTTACTCCAGCACACTACTATACAGACAACTACTGTTTACTCAATACACTATTATACACACTAGTACTGTTTACTCAATACACTACTATACAGACAACTACTGTTTACTCAATACACTACTATACAGACAACTACTGTTTACCCTAGCACACTACTAAACAGTGTTTACGCAGTGCACACAGACAACTGCTATTCAGTAATACAGCACATGGTATTTTATGCTTGCACAAGAAAAAGATTATTTGTTGTAAAAGTTTTGAAACATATTTGTGTGCACAAAACAGGGAGTTTTGTTCACAACTGAACATAAACAAAGGGAACAAATGAGTTGTGATTTTAACTGCCATGGGTATCATACAACATTCATAATTTCTTTCAAATATCTTTAGGGACCGTTTAAGTGATATCTGTTTCTGTACATTACATAAAGAACACGTACTGGCCATTGATTAGTTGGGATATTGTTTATTTCATGACATGATCTCTTTGGTTCAGAAAAGTAAATATTATTTTGGGAAAGTTTTACGAAATTGCAGATCAAACTGTGTTTCACTTTCGATATGTCCACATAATAATGAGCTGAAAAATACGCCTATTCTACCTAATCTGTCAACATTGACAATATAGATAACTTCTGTTCACATTCACAGCAGCACTAGAAGAGGTCTAATATTTTATTGGAACTTGAAGAGGTTAATACTTTATTGGAATGTATTGCAGGTTTATATATTCACTCACTCACCCACCATTTCATGTTGTAGAGTGGCGCCAGCAACGTCGCCATCTCCATGGCGTGCGTCGTTGGGGTCTACGGTGGGTGGATGGCGCTGAAACTAGCCCTGTAGCAGAACTCAACGACCGACATCTCTGTGGTGAAGTGGATACAGATATGAACTTCAAGTACAAGACTTGTCTTTGCTTCAACTGATGCGCATCACCATTCGTCACCTCTCGCGTCTTTCCGTAATCATCGCATCATGTCCCGGAATGACCCGAGTGGTCACGAATGGTCCCCATATCACGTCTTTGAGGGGAAATCAACTCCGGAACTATTGAATATTGACACTGAGAAATTTGACAATATGTAACGTTTGAGAATGTTCCAAAAATCCATTTTATATATCTGTGTAAAAATTTTTTACGATCAATCAATGTTTCTTTGTTAATACCGTTTGAGCAAATCAGCTGGCAAAAAACGTTTTCTTTCTTGTATTTTACATCATATCTGTGTCCATTGTATTCCCCGATTGTTTTGTTATCTTACCTATCGTATACACTTTCATAAGTAAACCAACGACGCCATTTTTATCTCGGGACGGTATTTCAATCAGGTTCGTTCCTGCAGTAGCGGGATGCCATTGTGTACTCGTCCATCTGTTTACGCACTTCAGTCTATGGCTATGACTTGGTCTCTTTGATTGATCAGCTGACAACAAATCCACTGTTTCTTCACGGGAAAAAGTAGTTCTGATTATGATTAAAATATATTTTTTTACTATGAAATACCCCCCCCCCCCCCCCCCCCCCCCCCTTTTACACATAAACACACGAGTGCCACGACTGATTTGAAGCGATAGCATTGCACACCTTGTGTTAATATATAGAGACAGGGGGGTGCTTGATTGTGAAATACCATACGATTTTATCATAATCAGAACTTCCTGTGGTTTCTTTTTAATAAAAATTTTGTTTGCATCTCAAGACGTGGCTGTTGTGTATTATTAAGTCTAATATTTGTTTGTTCGCACTCATCAATATTCAAGCTATATGTCGGCGGTCTGTAAATAAAGTCTGATACGATGACATGCAATCAACCAAGTCATCGATGTTGACCTCTCGATCCATTTAAATCGCCTCTTACAAGCGCGAATGCTGAAGGAATATTCTAGCCCGGAATTCCCCAGGAATTTGTCATGAAACACCAGCATATTGTTGAAATGTTTTAGAGGTGGTGAGGTGAGGGGTGGTGAGGGGAGGGGAGGTGAAATGGGGGATAACGTCGCGTGCAATATTATTGCACTTATAGAGAGACATGCATGCACATGCGTGTGTGTCAGCTTGTACTTGGTCGGAATAATGCTGGTTTTATAGTGCTAGCCCACTGAGATACCGTGACGCAGTTTAACATGAATACCAAAATCAAAGCTGACTCAGAGCCGAACCGACCAGTCCTAGTTTTAGCCCTTCATGTCGAGGAGCAGGCAGGGTAACAACAAGTACCATCTTTTAACGTCTTTTGATATGACGCAGCCGGGTATCGAACCACCGATCTTCCGCATGTATAAGACACAACTATATGTGCTATGACCTGCAATATCGATAAAAGCTCTGGTCAACATGTCATATGCTTTTCAGGTAATTGTCAAGATGATCCACATGCCATAAGAATGTAACAGAATATATATACTGTAAATCTTGAAATTAACGCGAGCGCGAATTAAACGCGAAAAATGCGAGTGGTCTTTGCTCGAATTATTAGACATCGCATTTATATCATCAACAATAAGACATTTTGGATATCAGAAATACGAACTTAGACATACGCATAAAACAAACAACTATGTATTCCATATCACTGTTTATTGAGCAGCATTTGTTCAAGTATATAAATAATGTCATTCAAACACTAATTACATCCTGTGAAGGGGGCACGGGTGGCCCAGTCGTCAAAGGCGCTGCAATTCGATGTGCAGAGTTGCGTCCCTTGGGCACGCCAGAAACCTGTGATGTAGGTTCGAATCCCGGTTTGCCCCGATTATGTTTCTTGGTTTTTCAGCACCATACACGTGCTCGTGGGTTTTACCGAAGTGGTAAACGTCTGAGACCTGCATCACTTCGGGCTTTCCTCCCACATTAAGCTGACATGCCGTGATATAACTGGAATATTGTTGAAAGCGGTGTTTAACCCAACTCACTCACTCACACATCCTGTGAACTGTCACTGCTGGGGTCAAGGCAATAGTTCTCCTCATTTGTGTCGTCATCACTGATCACACCTGCAAGTCCAGACAGACGCCACCCATAATATGGTGTCGCCCAGAGAAGGCGATATGATCGATAATCAAGATTTATATTGTAATAAAAAGGGTCGTACTTCGCGAAGTGCATCAAATCACGTGAGCACCTTGATTAAAAACATGAACAGATTTGGAAAATATCTGTTACGGACCGGATGTTGATTTTGTCTGGCGATTCTGATGGCATTATGCATAGACTCGTTAATCCAGCCAAACATGACTTCATAATTCCAGCCTAGTTCGGCAAGGGCGGAAACTGGACTTTTATAGTCAGTTTACAAGCTTGCCTCGAGAAGATGACAAGTTGTAAAATATTAAAGTACTTAAAGAATATAAGTACATACTTAAAAAAAGTCAGGTAGAGTGAATATGGGCCAATGTTTATTTACATAGCATGGAAATGTTGGATATACACACGACAGTAGCAAGAGAAAAGTAATATTGCATGAACTGGAAGATCATCGACTATTAAGGCTGGGGATCTTCTAAAGTCTAATATCTCTTGACTTAGACGTGAAAGGAGGCACCTCTTCAAGAGACCCGTTCCACTAAACGATCTTAACACTATGCCTACTGTCAGTCCCATCCCACAACATTCTTTTAGATCAGTGATACTCTTTGAGCTAAGATCGCTTTGTGCAACTAGGGCCTTGTCTTCATAAACTCCAACCTCCCAACATACGCATACAAAACTCAACTCCTGCCAGTGTCATAAGCAGGCGCTCGTACCTCGACACCATGTTAGTGAGGTAGAGTGACAATGTCGGCGCTGTAGGGGAGCTTGTATCCAGTCGTGCTCCTAACAACCGCTGGCGTACTAAGCTCCCTGCACTGTTCGAGACTACACTCTGCTTCGCGCTGCTGGAGACATTTGTACATCTGGTGTCAACCTTGGAGATACATGGGGCATCTGTGAGGTCATGATACGCAGATGATCTGCAGGGTCAAGGTCATAAGGGAGGTAATGTGATACACAGGTCAGGTGTGTTCTTGAATCACAGGCGATACACCAGTTTTGGGGTCGAGATACACATTATGGTCATCGGTGTCATGTAAGGTCATGAGGTCAAGGTCAGAAAAGGTTGGTCTGGAGCATGATCCTGGTGAACTCTTCTTTGTCTATAACGCCGTCTCCATTGACATCGGCCTCCTCGATCATCTCCTGCAGCTCCTTCTGGGTGAACTTGATGCCCACGTCTCGACACGCCTGCCGCAGATTGTCCTGGGAGATAGCACCCGACCCATCTGTAACACAGAGTGGGGACACGTAAAATTAGGGAGCAACTATTTGATTTCAAAGGGGTGGGGGGTCGAAGGTCGGGATTCTTTAAACCCCTGTTTTACTGAAAATATTAATTACAGATGCCTCGCATTGTAGGCGAAAAAGGTTGTCTTGCAGACAAGTATTAAAAAATACAGTTTATTATTTTTATTCATTTCAAAAAGGCATTTCTTAAAAATGCTGATCTCAACCACATCCCCATCCCAAACTATTGTATGCTTCACAAATGTGAATGGTATCCTATCCTAACTATCTTTTATGGAAACATGAAACTAGCAACTGTGTGATGAATGTATGCAAAATGTTTTTTACTAACAAAACACGCCTTAAATCAAATCAATTCATTTAACACAGTTGTTGCAACATATATCAAATACCAAAATACCACCCTAAGGCATAATGTATGATATTACGTGCGCATCACCGATCAACTTCCCTAGGCAAATCTGTATTTGAAACCTCACGTCAACGTGGAGCAGTTTTCTCTTACGCAAATAATACAACACAGATTACATGAAAACAGATGTGTGGAAAGCCCGTGTCGGAAGATATGACATCGCTGTGCAATCCACACAAACGAGGCATAACCGTATATATCGACTACTCGCCTGTGTCGAACATGTTGAAGCCCTTCAGTATTTCCTCATACACATCTCGGTTGTCTCCCTGCCGGTCTATCACTGTCTCCAGGAACTCGTTGAAGTCAATCTTCCTGGATACCCAGCATACATTGTCAGTACAAGATACAATAGTGTATACATGACACGCAAAGCAGCTGGGGTGACCATATCTCCGTGCTGCTCCCTATAAACCATTTTGATATTGACTTGTCGGTACCAGCGAGCGGGGGCGGTCGGGTAGCCTAGTGGTTAAAGCGTTCGCTCGTCACACCGAAGACCCGGGTTCGATTCCCGACATGGGTACAATGTGTGAAGCCCATTTCTTGTGTCCCCTGCCGTGATATTGCTGGAATATTGCTAAAAGCGGCGTAAAACCATACTCACTCACTCACTCACTTATGTGTTTTAAGCAGCACTCAGCAACATTCTAGCTATATGACGACCGTCATTAAATAATCGAGTCTGGACCAGATAATCCAGTGAGTGACATCATGCATATGAGCATCGATCTACACAGCTGGGATACGATGAAATGCATCAACCAAGTCAGCGAGCCTGACCACCCGATCCCGTTAGTCGCCTCTTACGGCAAGCATGCCCATTTCTTTTGTCCCCCGCCGTGATATTGCTGGAATATTGCTAAAAGCGGCGTAAAACCATACTCACTCACACTCGGTACCAGCGACAGTCAGAGCCGTTTATAGGGAGCAGCACACAGATCCGGTTACCTCAGTAATGGCGATGAACAAGCACTGTACTAACATTTCCACAAGTTTAAATCCCAAGTTTAAATATAAAATCGATGAAACTGATTAGGTGAGGAGAAATGGGGTTTAACGTAGCGTTAAACTATTTGTCTTCCAAGTTCTCTTCTGTCCATATTACTACTGGCGTCCATAGATGGCCTGTACAATCAGCACTAATGGACGAACCTACCCAACCTGCCCCTCGGAATGACTTAGAATTTAGCAATTACTATGACACATCATTCGTGACCAACTCGTGTTATTCCGGGACAAGCCGAATAGCGACTCGTGTCCCTCTCATGACCATTTCTGCGACCGGGTTCCGTCTTAGCGCAAACGGGCATACCTAAAAGAATTGTCAACTCGTTGCGTCATGGTTCACATATATTTCCCCATATATTATATATATTTCAGTTGCAATTCAAAGCACATCGGGACATGCGGAATAATACAGTTTGATTAAGCGCATTTAAATGTGCCTTGGGTATATTTTTAAATGCAAGACATGTAAAATCAAAAAATGATTTCTGAGGGCTTCTTTGACGAAGAACTTGAAATCATACGCGCATTCTGATTGGTTTGCAATATTATCACACATAGCATTCATCGATAGGGGGGACGAGTCCTCTTGCAGGTTACGAAAAGGGGCTAGTGGCGACGAATGTATGACACATGTGACAAAACTCACATGGTACATGTGACAAAACTCACGCTCTTCCTTTCAGACTGACGTCCATGATCATTCTCCTCGCCTCATCTCGCGAGATTTTGAATCGAAGGACACGCATAGCCTTCTTCAGTTCTAGAGGGCCGATAAACCTGTACAGACAAAACCACGTCATCATATGGTAGTGCGTATTCATCACCGATTGATATATGGCAAGAACATATACACTATTATGTTACCCACACTGACATAGTTGATTAAACCCCCTGTGGTAGCATTATATCTCAGAAACACTGTCATAAATGTTCATGAATACGGGCTGATCGCCTCATTGGTTTGTTGTTTGTTGGTTAACGCGGCACGCAGCAA